CCACTGGGTGTACATTAAACTGAAGTCTAATTGTACAACCAGTGTTTTACTCGTAATTTTAAATACATACAATAGATTAGGACCTGGTTTATAGAAACCGAGATTAAATTAATCGAGGATTACAGTTATTTATAATAAATACAAGTGTGTTATGTAGCGTATAAATCACGCGAGAAAAAGTTTAGTCACGAGCGACGAAGGAGCGAGTGTCTAATTTTCTCAAGCCATAACACAAGAGTGTAATATAAAATTTTATCCAACACATGTACAAAAATACTTTGTAAGAGTAACAATAATTTGAATTTCTAAACCAACTCCAAAAACATATTCCATTTAAGAAAACATTGGCGTGGTAACCAACGAATTTTTTTTTTTTTTTGGCAACGTAAACAAAGTGTAATTTTGATTAATTAATTAAATTGAGTGTGAGTTATATTAATAACTTCCTAGTGAGTTAGACTTATAACTACTAGGTATGATGGTCTAGATAAAATATTTTGGTTTGATAGCATATTTGAAAGATTTCTTTTGTAATTGTTAACGTCATAACAAATTTTTGACGATAGAGACTATGCAATTTTTTGATGTAGATGTACCACTAAAACCGATTCATTTTCTAAAAAATATTTACTTGCGGTGACACGTAACTAGAGACCGGACACCACGGAATAATCCGTAAGCATGTCTCCCTTACTGCAAACATCAAGGCCGACAGTTTACGTGGACGATTCTTGTTTTGAAAATTCGCCCTTACAGCTTACCGCCATTGCAACGTTGCCTACAAACCCCCAAATCACTAAATCAGTGACAAAAAACTGAAGTGATAACAGTTGTGCAGTCGGCCACACAAATAATGCAAATGACCTCGGTTAGTTACGTTGAGTAATATATTGGCACTCTCCAAAAATTGCAATGCCAATGCAATGATGCACCTGAACCTGGCGTCGGAACGACTAACCTCCAAGTGCCAACGGTACCGCACAAAAAACCGGTTAGGTTTCTTTCAAATTCATACAGATCCAGCGGCGTTCATACTACACATTAGGTATAAAACGCAACGTTCATCGCATTACAAACTCAGTTTTGAGAGAACAATAATTGTTGACGCACATACCGTTAATTCAAGCTTAGCTAACTTAAACTGGACACGAGCCTATTATATGAATTGAATTGAATGTTACCCTTAGTAGTCCGATCTCTGCAGATCATATGTGGTCGATTTTTTTTTTTTTTTTTTGAAGTTTTTATCTTAAAAATGTCGCTTTGATTACAGTTTCAGTCGCTCGTTTGATTCGGTAAAAACTTGGAATTTTCCAAGTTTGCTGGAGTTGGAGTATTCTTGTACTCATTCTGCATTAATCGTCATAATAATTTTGTAAAACGTCATCTTCCCGAATTATGATTTTTTTGCGAAATTACGTGAAATTAGTCTCCGCCACGTCAGTTCATGCAGTACAATAATTAACTAAACGTATAAAAAATTCGACCAAAATTCCAATTTTTTACAAACATTGCTGGGGTATTAAAACAGACAGTCTGTCTACATACGAGTATTCGTTTTTGTAGGCAAATCTGTTATGACTTTTATCTAGTAAACGACTACCTTTTGAAGAATATTTTGTAAACTTTTTTTCTTATTATTATCTTTGCAATCTTACAAAGTCATACTTTTGTAGAAAATTAAAATAACAGAAAACTTAAACCTTCTTCAGTCTTACTACTTAAAAATTAAAAACCTTGTATGCTGCAAATTATTATTTTTAGTCTTACATAGTCGTACTTTTATAAAAACTTAAAATAACAAAAGTAATGCAAATAAATCACTTTTGCCATTTGATTAAAACGAGACAGTTTTATTTATTTATCTTTTTTTTTGCATACAATTAACGTCACACAAAAGCCATTAAAATAAAAGCGTATCCAAAACAATCATCAACATTTTTTACCAAAAGACTGAAATTTTGACTCTCACAACACGTAACCACCCCGCTATGCAGACGTTTGCCGCTAACTTCAAGTGATTGGTTTATGTTGAACAAATATCATGGGTTTTGACCTTTGAAAAAACCGCACATTTTTAAATTACATATTTGACAAGGGAATTGATGACCGATGTTGTATGCGCTACTTTAATAAGAAAAATATTGTTATTTATTTAATTTTAAATTTTGCTAACGCTTTACACTTCGTAGAGTATCCTTAAAAATATAGAAATTAAAAGTAATTGTGTAAACCTAATATGTAGTTTCAAAAATATGATCATTCTAATGTGAAAATATGTACGAGTATGTAGTGATGGCAAGACTAGGGATTAAGATTTTAGACAAGCAAAGACATTTTTTTTAATTCAATATACTGTATTTGTTTTTATGATCGTATAGTACTGCTTTTTCTATATTTATTATCATTAAAAAGACGTGAAGTCGCTTAAATTACACATGAACACATGAAATAACGCAAGTTTTGTAGAATTGCAAAAAATTTTGACTAGACGTTTTTTCTCTATCACATGATACAAGTGTTTGCATTTTTAAACATCAGTGGTGACATAGTGTAATAAAATAAATATTTCGCAGCTATTATTTTTTTAATTAATTATGAACACTAAAGTGAGTCGCCGATTTAATATTTAGAATAGGAAGCTGTTTTGTTAAATCACACGGCTTTCGTAGAGGTTCGTCTTAAATTGAGATAAAAGTTTTGTAACGATTTCAACACAGAAAGAGACGAGTAATCATCCAACATCGGATTTCTGGGGTATTCGCGTACACACTGCCAGACAAAAAAAAAACGAACACTTGAATTTTTTGTAATTACCTGCAATTGGTCAAAGTAAAAAATATTCCAAAAAACAAAACATTAATGTATTCTTTAACAGAAAACATAACTTTCTTCTAAAACATGTGGAAATAGAAAAAAAGTAAAAGTTATAACACTATACTTTAGTGTAAAGTTAGAAATATTCAAGTGTCCGGGATTTTTTGTCTTTACTAAGTTACAGTATCAGTACGAAATATCTAGCTAAATACAATTAATTGGTTATTAATTAAGTGGAGAGGTGACCGTAAAATCACTGCTCATTTCTGATAAGTTAAGATTTTCAGAAAAGGTAGTATATACTGTGACAATACACGAACACTAGTATTGCCTTTGGACATCTTGATAAGATGGCCAGGGGGACCCTTTTTAGGAACAAATTACGTAGTATGTGATATGAAAGAATCTAATTGGTGCCAAATTTTAGAGCTCGTAGAGTGGTATGTGAATATGTACGGTTGCCTAAGCACTCTTGATTAGGTGCCTAAGTAATAACGCAATAAAAATAAAATTATTGTATGGGCTACCTAATTCAGACTTCTTAGGCAACCCCACGTATTCACATACTCCTAAGAGCTCTACAATTTGGTGCCAATTAGTTGCTTTCATGCCTTGAGTTAAGTGGATACATCGAATTTGCTCCGAAAGATAGATCCCTCCTACCGTCTTATCAAGGCATCCAAAGGCAAACTTAGTGCTTGTGTAATATCACAATATGTACTAGATTTGTGTTGGCAATTCTGAATTATTAGCTTCCATGCTAGTACGTCAGTTCAAAGTTGTCAATTTTGACAAAAGCACGCCGATGTTGATTGGTTGAGACGATCGCAGCTGTCATAATTGTCACTTTGACAACAAATAAGTTGCTAACCTGACAAAAAATCACAAACATTAATAATCACTCAGTATTATATTGAGTTATGCAGTATATTATAATTATAGTACGCCGAGAGTTTATTAGTGCAGTCCTGGTGGTAGCCTTTGACTACTAATGTGGAGTCCTTATAGAATCTATTGTTATTTTGACATACTTCAATATAAATATAATACTTACATCAAGTGCACTGAATAAATATTATAATTAATTTGACGCTATGTTGTCTGCATTCAATTTCGACCTATACGTATGCAATTGGTTTCATTAAAAACGGGACAAGAACCAACGTTTAACTGTCATTTTATCAATATTTTTCATTGTTGTGAATATGAAATATGTCAATTCTTGTCCCCTTTTTAATGCAGCCAAGTGTACCTGTTCTTGTTATTTTTCTAAAATGCAAAATTCAAATGAAAACAGCAGTATCTGTCTAAATTAAATCCAGTGATTTTTTGACAAGTGGCACGATAATTGAACCAACGTGGCATCAAGCATGACAGATGGGTATTAACTTTAACTCTCTTTTAATGCATTTATATTCCAGTTGTATTTTTTTTTTATTCAAGCTTTTTTAATTTCCATTTTTGTATAATACACAGTGACCGGTAAAAAAAACCGGCCACCCTGAAATATTTCTTAAAACCACTTTAAGAAAATTAATATTTTAACCAGTGATTGTATTTATTTGTCTCCTTTTTTAGCTAATTTGTACGCCTTGTGTCCACAGTAAATGGTACTCTAAATAAAATAACAGTCACTAAATAAATTAATAATTTTTAAAGCGATTTTGCAAAATATTTCAGGGTGGCCGTTTTTTTTTCTGCCTTTCGGTGTATGTATTTTGACATAGCATTATACTTTTTTTTATCTTTATTTTAAAATTAAATTTATCTTTAGTCTTCGTGATTGATTTAAGGTGGTAGTTTGTTTAAGAGGTTTTTTTCAACTGGAGCTAAATTATCCCTGTAAAATATGTCATATGTATTAATTAGTACACTACCCACAAAAATGAACGCAACTTTTATACTTAAGAATACTAATAAGTTTCCACTAAACCCATATAAAACTGTACCAATTCAGAATTTTATTACTGTGCGTAGATTTCTGTGTACTTTTTGTCGGGAGTATACTATTTTTAATAAGAATAGTTTTAAAAAGTGAAAAAATAAAATTGGATCGATGTTTCATTTTAACAGCGTCCTTGCAGTTAAAAATGTACATTTCGTTTAACGCAATTTATAAGTTAATAATTGTACATTTTTCAAAAAAAATATCCTTTTGTTATGTTTTGTAATTTTGTCGTTAGGTTTTGCTGAAACTTCTCCTTCATCACTGCTGCAAAAATTTCCAAAAGATGTGGGTGATGACGATGTCTTTATGGTATGAAATGTGCAATCTTTCCAGGTACTGAATTACTGAAGTGTAGTTATGTTTAACAGACCTTGAATCTTCCACACGAACCCAAAGACTCTCGCAGTTCCAGTGATTCGAGTTCAAAAGGAACTGAACACTTACAAAGGGTGAACTACATTGGACGGGACAAACCTCTCGAACCTCGGCAACCCACTTACGATCCTATCAAAGGTGATAAAGGTAAACCATCAATTGTATATTATTGCTAAAAAATAACATAGGGGATGGTAGGACAAAACAAGATACCTCCAGTATTGCGTGATTCCCACATACGAATCATATGTAGGACTTAATTATTTATGTCCGCCTTAAGTCTATATATAGTATAGTTTGTCGTGTCATTATAGTCTCTCTGACTTTAAAGCAATAACTACAGAAATATGTAGAATTCATGCATACAAAAAAAAAAAGTTATAGGTCTTATATTTATCTCTTACGATTTTTTTTAAATATGTTTCCAGGAGAAAACTACTCGTACGTGCAATTAACAGCGGTTCACGAATACATTTATCCCGTCGTAGAGGAACAACATAAAATATCCATCGGTAGCCGGGAGTCCGCTTCAAGTCTGAAGAAGTGTAGCCCGGAATTGGCGCAGCAGCAGCCGCCCCTGCCCCTCAAAGCCAAACCGAAGAAACCACTAAAGACTCAAATTCGTTGCAGACATTGTCACGAATTGTACTATGAAGATAACAATCCAAAGGGTTCATGTGAATACGCGCCAGACTGTATAAAATCATCGATAAACGCGATCACCTGCATCGGATGTGCCCAGTGCATTTGTTATCATTGTGCGGCAGACGCAGAAGGAGACTTCGCGCAACATCCTTGTGACTGTACCAACGAAGAGAATTGTTCAAAAAGATGGATTTGTTTGACGGTTTTGTCTATACTCGTACCGTGTCTGTGGCTTTACCCTCCGTTAAAAATATGTCATTGGTGCGGCATGAGGTGCGGTTTGTGTGGAGGACGGCATAGCATGTGATCCAAAACACATTATATTTTACGATATTAGTTTTACAGTAACCTGCTCTTTAAGCATACAAATTTATTTTTTATATGGAATTTTTTTATTTATTTAATATCCACATTTCATATTATATAGATTAAAAATGTCTGTGATTTAATATAAGCATTTCATAGTATTAGAAGAAATCATGTTTTATTTTGCTTGGATGAGTATGTTATTTTACAGTAGCTTTAAAATTGATATCGTAAAGTACGGAGTGACGTTTAAAAGTGCTCAACAAGAAGGTTGTGAACACTGCATATGAACAAAGTGTCTACACACTTAATGTACTGTAACAAGACTGTTCATTTATACATTTTTTAATTATTCTGATTACTCTCTATTCGACGTTTTTAACCTGATATTGTTTATACTATATAAGACCGTGGTTATTTTGCATTTATATTTGAACCTAAGTTATGTATATTTTTACAACGTTGTTACTATTCAATTTCAATTTACTTTACCCGTTTCCATGTTGTTTGAGAATTGTTAATCGAACTAAACTCCAATTTGTGTACCCTTTATAGATGGTTGATATCGATATTTTAACATAAATGGTACGCCTGAGTACCATACTGCCCAAATATACAGACAATTTGTAAATAGTGACATCATAGAAATGACAATATATGATAAAAAAAGAAAAAACATGAAAGTCATGTTGAAACTGATGGTAGGATATAAAAATATTTATCCTGTCAAATATCACTAAGAAAATTAATGTTTTATATCGAATAGGTAATTATACCTTCAACCAAAAAAAATGAAGAGTAGTACCTAAAACAAGCTTTAAGGAGGTTCACAAATTTAAAGTTTCTTGTTAAAGCTTGTTTACAAGTTATTACAAAATGTTTCTCATACATTTTTATTAAATTTTAAGATTTTTTCAATAATCTGTATTATATTCAACGTTAAATGTCTCCAGGGTCAAAATATTATATAAAAAAGCAAATCGTTGAAAACTGTCGAAAAAGTTTATCTCGATTTGCCTATTATATAAAGAACTATATTTATAGTTAACAACAGTTTTACAAGCAACTTGTGTATGTATGTTATCGAAGTGTAATTGTTTTCTATGTAAAAGTGACGTCGCTTATCCATGGGCTCAGGGTGAGTGCTGTTCATTTTTACGAGTGTAAGTATACTTAAATACACGTATTTATTACATACTTAAATTACATAGAACACACTGTCTTAACTTTGATAATTCTTATTTATATTTATTATAAATGATGCTATATTATTCTTACATCAAAGATGAATAAATATTGTTTTTACGATGTTTCTAAAATTTGTAGTTGCTCTGTGAATATGTTGTTTATAAAAAGCTGTAAAATGTCGGAATCAATCAAAATTGATTGTAATGTTTTACACAAATTTCACCTTGTTGTGAAACATGTAATCAAGTATAACTTGGTTACATAGTTTTAAATAATAAATGTAATATTTGTATATATGTTATAGTATGAACATTTGCTTGTAATGAAACAAAATGTGTGAATGATATTTTAAATATATAAGAATAATAAATAAAAATATGTTACTAATTTTGTATATTTTAATTTACAAACCACAAAGATCAACTACAGAAATTAACCAAGTCTACTATTGATTAAGTACTCTGATTTCTCCCACAGTTTGGAAGCAGTATCATCATCAAATTTTACTCTTGATGTGTAAGAAGTGCAGTTCCGATACAACAATCCTGTCTCATTTTCTAGACTTGGTTCGGTGGCACAGTATATAATTGTTTGGGAACCCTTAAACATTAACATAGTGAAATATGCATACAAACTATCATGATCTTAAAAATACCTGCTTTGGACTCCTCATAAAAAAGAAGGCAATCGGAGCAATTAAAATGTAATGGTACCAACGAATTGAATGTCGAAATAATGATGTGTACACCCAACCAGGACACACTGCATATGTAGACAAACCAGTACACTTTGCTCTTTTTGCTAATTCTTTGCAAAAATAAATATTTGCTAGTTTGGAGTTTGCATATAAATTTTTGCCTTGAGCAACAGTTTCCAAATTATCTATATTGATTGCACCTTTTTCATGAAGAGAAGAACTAACTATTATTATTCTACTTGGTGCTGACTTTCTTAAAGTATTTAAGAGTAAAGTTGTCAGATAAAAATGACCCAAATGGTTGACGCCAAAATGCATTTCAAAGTTATTTTCTGTCAAATGTATTTCGTTTTTGGGATACGCTAGTCCAGCATTGTTAATTAAAATATGTATATAAGGATACTGGTCTTGAACATTTGAAACAAATTGTTCAATAGATTTTAATGATGCCAAATCAAGTTCCATTGCTCGCTAACAACAAAAGCGTAACTATACTATTAAATAATCTTACGTATCATTCATACCAGTTTCAGTTTTTTCTGAAGTTCTTTTTCAATCCTCATTATTGCTTTTTTGGCCAAATCAACATTTCTGCAAGCTAGAATGACTTCAGCGTTTCTCGATGCCAATTCTTTTGCAACTTCATATCCAATACCACTATTAGCACCTGTTATGATGACGACCTTATTATTCAAAGTTGTATTGTTTTTGCAAAATCCCCATGAACGTTCTCTTAGTTTCCTCAAGCCAAATAACACCAAAATAGCAGGAATTAAACAAATAATTAGATTAGACCCCATGATGACTTAACACTAGCATAAATTGAAGTTAAATAGTTATTTTAAAAGCATAGTTAACATAATTGAATGTGTGACAATGGGTCTTTATTAATTTCAAAACACTGATGAATCACTCATAATAACATAACCTACAACTTCACCTCAGTCACAGTCGTCTCAGTCTACAAATAACTAGGACACCTCCCTTAATCACAAATAACACCACCCGCAATTAATGCATAAGATACATACAATCACATAATGTAGTCGCTATCACATGACTATAATTTTAACATTTCCACATTGTTAACATGATTAACATGACATTAAATAAACACAATCTGACGTCACGTCACGTGATACCGGCAACGTGAATTTTCTTGTACACGGTTTCTTGACTGTTGCATCGGCGGCGTCCGTAACGTTTCACGTATACGTAATGTGTACTTATACCACCGTGGTAATGTGCATCATACCAAAAAATATTCTACCGATTTAATTAAATAATTATTTAGACTACAGTAAACCCTCGTTACTTCGAACTCGGTTAAGACAAACACCTCGTTATTACGAACTGGAAGCGAAGTCCCAAACAGTCCACTTATAAAACGAATGCAACTTAATTCGGTTTACACGAAATTCGGTTAATACGAAACTCGAACAACTTTTTCGGCCCCAAGTTATAATTCTCATATAAAATCACTCGGTTAACGCGAACAAAAAGTGCAAACTCTTTGCATCGTGCTCAAATACGATTTACTTTATCTTAATGGGTATCTAGTAAGCACAACGCAAAAGTATGTCTCTGTGTGGTTTACCGAGCTGTAATCAGTTCGTTCTTATTGTTCAATGTGCTAACGTCCAAAATGGCATAGCAAAAACCAAAACGAGGCCAAAAATCCATTAATATTAAAACGAAAATGCAAACTGCAGTAGCTAAAAAGTTCACCATTCCAAAATCTACATAGTCCACCATTCTGAAAACCCGATCTCAAATAAAAAAAAATAGTGTTGGGATCATTTGCGTCAATTTTTTTCACAAAGTTGTTTAGGAAAATTGATCCATGAAATTTTATATGTATGTAGTACTAGTAATAATGTTCAAAATTTGGTTATGCATTGTTAGAAATCTAATACGAAAACAAATTCAGGTTAAAAAAGTTGTTTTTGTTATATTTGTGTAAAAATGTCAAAAAGTGATTTTCGGTTATGGCGAATTCGGTTAACACGAATTGGTCAAGATCATGGTCCCGACGGGTTCGTGTTAACGAGGGTTTACTGTAATTATAATTAGTCTAGTTTGTCGCAACTTGTTCAGTGTGGTGGAAATTACCGCCACTTTGTCAACAACACTAATAAAAATAATAGAAGTTTTGCTATTCATAAAGATAAGATAAGAGGTCAAGCTGTTCATAATAAATAAAACTTCCAGATTTTGTATTCATATGGTAAAGATAATTTGCATTCTTCTTCTTCTTTTTCTTCCTTTTGCAATATAGGTAGGACTCTTTTTTAGTCATTCTGCCTCTGCTTGAAGTCCAACTTTCGTACTAGCATATGTGGCATAGGTGGTGCTTTTGTGTTGGGTTTTTATATCTTCGCCCTTTTGAGACCCTTTCTGTCGGCGTGAACTCTCCACAGACGACGGCCCACTCTTATCCATCTTACCACGTCCTGCAGTCCTACTTATCTCAACTCTTATTGATTGTATCATTTTTGGAGTATTTAACACATTGTTTACTGAAACGTGTCCGACCTGAATCTTCTGCGCAAAGGAAAGATGGAAACCTTCTTTATCAGGTTTCGTTCAAAATATCGACTTGCAACCTTACTTGACCTCTGAAGATCTTGCAGATCTAAAAGTTGGCACCATCGGCGTTAACAAGAAAAGTTGCCGAAAGTCTACTAATACAAGTTTGAAATATTAGGTAGCAATTTTCTCAGGTAATTTGTGGAACTTGTGCTGGAAGAAGCTGTTTCTACCCACTAGTTTGGTTCAATTTTTGCAACCAAAAATGTAACCCATATATCTTATAGCTAATGTTTCTGTAAGTTTGTTTTCTTTTATGTTAAATTTTTCGTTGCAAATCTCACGTCCTCAATATCATTATCCACTTTTTGAGGCTGAACAATCATTGATTTTAGTATTACTAAACTTTTAACAGATATGTAGGTAATGCTAAGTAACAAAAAAATATGACAACGTGCCCATCCTTTTGCGCATGGTCAGAAATTTCATGACCACACCGGAAATAACTATGTTTTGACTAAGGTGGTAGTTTGACCAGAGTAGATGGACCAAAAGTGGACCAAAACGCCGAACTACCAAAGCAGTTCATTTGATGACCAGATTCAATGATCCATTGCTGAAAAATATGCTTGACGCATTATCATAATCGTTATCTCAAGATACATACTTACAAATTTCGTTTGATATGTTTGACAATGACGGTTTTATTAGAATTTAATCTAGTTACAGATGATGCCACTTTTATTAGGCATTGAAACCCGTCTGACGATAAAATAAAATCTGTGAAGACTAAATAAGGCGTTGATTTTTGAGATTTATTAGTATCACTTCGTGTTCCGACACAAACATGGATCTCCAATTCTTTAAACACTATTTTAAAAAAACTTTCGGAGAACCGTCACTTTATCTTACTTTGTAAACTCAGCTCCATTTGAAACCACGAATTTCTTGTCATTCATTCGACTTCGTTTTGTTACAGCCTCACTTTTCTTCTTCTTTTTACAAGACTTTTCATTTACTGATTTTTTCTTAACTTCTATCATTTCTACCACGCTGTTTCTCCTTCATCTGGCTTAGAAATGTCTTCAATATGGCCGTTATTTTCATCATCTTTTAGTATAAGAAAAACGCTAATTTGTTTTCGTGCTTGCCACATTTCGATGCATATTTTGCTGTGAAAAAGGCAATTTTTAAATGTGTACTTATTTTTTATGTATTAACATACCTTTCTGTGATGTAGATGAAAATCCTAGTCTCTCTGTTTTAAGAGAAAAATTAAAACACCAATTAGTGTAGGTAAGTATTATTAACATGCTTACAAGACAAGAAAAATACATGTATGATTATTTCGAAATTCTTCACCAAAATCTTATTATTTATTGCCATTATTCAGGCGACAACTAGTAGCGAAAGAAGGTCATAAACCATAAACAAATATTAAATTATATTATTTTCAAAATGTAATATCTCCATTATTAACAGACTTATTTTTTTTTTTAATTAGTGTAGTGCAATAAGCTTTTTAGCATTTCAGTGAAGTTTTCATCACGCACTTTTAAAAACCAATATTTCAATTATTTATGGAAATTTCGGAACGCGGTTTTCACCACTGTTTTCACTATTTTAATCCCTACATGGGATCTTTCGCAGGATCTCAGAAAACTACAGCGGTATGCAGGTAGTACTTGTAAGGTCTGTACCCAGATGCTGTACTCGATGCGTTTAAACATTCGTAATTTTTTCTAAAAATATTACATTGTACGTACTAATATTACAAAAGTCTCTGTTAGGGCGTCAACGTCCAGAATAATTTTATATGCATTAACGATTTTCTAAAAGTGTTCTTTGACAGTACCTTCCAAGCAATAAATATTCTATTTCTGGGAAATATTATTCTTTTTGATTTAGTAAATACAACTTTTTGCAGAAGCACCGTAACAAACCCAAATTTGCTAAGATGAAGAAGAAATGAATTTCGAGTAATCCCGAGACCAACTAAACGAGTGGAATCTACTTAGAGCTGGTAAAGTCCAGCAAAAGATAAATGCAAATGACTACAATTATAAGTACTGCCGCCGTAAAATCTCCAGTCGCTTTCGAAGCTGTAACCTGTGTAAAGCTGTCAATCAAAATGAGTAACTACGCTTGTACCTACCTTTCCAGGACCATATTTGTTCTCTAGTAAATGCATTCCTAATGCGTAATGGTTTATTGCAGGTTACGGTCTAAAGTACTACCCTTATAAAACAATTGACGGCGTTTGCATTTATCTTTTGCTGGACTTTACCTGATTTTATTATGTGCTGCAGTTTACATGTCATAAAAATTTACAACATAGGCTGAGGACGATTAATGGGTTAGTTCCGCTGCAGATTACATGTGCCCACAAAACTCTATAAGTTACCTGGAAAATATTATCGATTTACAGCGGAAACATTTTTAATTTTTAAGATTACGGAAAACATCATCTGGCTATTTTACTAATTAGTAAAAAAATATAAGGATACACTATTTACGAACAATTTTTTATACAAGACAATAAACTACAACTACAACAAGGTCCAGTTGTCTCCCAGTACCCTCAGGTAGCCATAAAGAGACAAATAAGAGCTTAGCGCTAGCAACTTACGTATAGCTGCTTCAATCATCGTCAATGAAGTTATTTACCAAAAATCATAGAATTTTGTTATTAAGTCATTTTCTGGTTTGAATTTGGCCATATTTAGCGAATTAATTCCAAAGCAAAATATGCGTCAAAAACCGTTCCTTATTTTTGCTATATTTTTGTTGGACATCCAATTCTTCAATTTTTCGATACCAGTATTGTTCCAAGTGGAGTTTCAGGGGTATGTACAGCAACTTCAAAGTCCATCGTAATAGTTCTGGGTAAAAAAACTGTGTAGGAGTCTCTGCGAGTGCAAAAAACTGTATATACGCCTCAGGGCGAAATACCATTTTTTTCGGCGCTTTGTAGCCCTCGGGCTTCGCCCTCTGGGTTCAAACGGTGCCTCAGGAAAAATCATTCATTTCTCTCCCTCGATGTATAATAATCTATACTGTTATATGTGGAACGCTTATTTTATATCAAGCAAAAAAATTTATACCTCTGACATTTTTTCATAAAATCACAAATAAAAAAGTTTTCCCTCTTGTTTACCCAATCCAGCGACATATTGTATACATACAATATTTATTTAGAATTGACAATTTGTACACTATGTATCATTGGATTGGTGTCACTGTCGTTGTCTTCAGGTTCTAAATTTATAATAAGTTTCTGACATTTCTTGAACGGTATTCATTTTCTATCTTGATTACATGGTCTCCACATTTTAAACAGATTTAAAAGAAACACTTAATAAACAGAAAACAAACGCTAAATCTCTGTTCGAAATCCCAATTAAAATTTGTCTGTGTCAGAAATGTATTTATATTGAAATACTGGTTATTAGGGGTTGATTAGTCAGACGACTTTACCTATTTATTTTCAAGAGGACTATTTCTATTGTTGTTCGGATTATTAGATAGACATTTACCCGGATTAATATTAAAGTTTATTTCTAAAATCCGACCCTGGTGACGAAACAGACACAGTCGTTTTGATGGACATATTTACAGCGGGGTTAAACAATAAATCATCCTAAGCGCATTACCCGCAGTGAAGTCACCTCCAAATATCGGTATTCTTCTTTTCCTTTCTCATAACTGAATATCAGTTTGTAAATGCTTGTGCTTTTATTTGGAAGTACAAGAACAAAATACCAAAAGTATAGGTATACCTACATATAATGACCATAAAGAATATCTATAGTTGTAATGGTATCCTTGGAAGAGTTTTTTAGTTCTTTTTGGTATTAATTTTATTGGTCGTCCACAAACATCTTCTGCAGCACGTTTCACACTGCTGGTGAAAAATTGTCTGTTTAACATATTTTCAGAAATTTTCTCCTACACTAGGTGATTAGGTAACACTGATTCAACGTATTATGTGTTCAGCACCTCCTCATTACACAATGTCTTTCCTGACAAACATATCATTCTTTTTGTATACTTATTGGCCAACATTTTTTGAAAATAAAACTTGTGGCCTTCTACAAACAACAAATTTGTTTCTTTTTCACTTAAAACAATTAATCTCATCTTGATTTGCGTTGTCTTGTCTGAAGATGTCCACAAGGCTAGATACCAATTTATGATTGATATTTGAGGAGGCACACACAAACTGCCGTTAATTTTCGCCAGCCCAGGTTGTAAATTTTTACCTACTATACAAAATGTGGCGTATTGTAAAATCAGGTACCAGCCCCTTGAATGTTGACGAAAGAGAATATTGACTGCTTTGAAGATACCGACAAACGAAATATTTGGAACAACTCCAAAATTTTGTGTAAATCTCTTGGTGAGTATAATTACTTGGAATTTGGATTGTTAACAAAGTTACCGCTGGGAGACACCTTGTACATACCATCCCGATCGATGAGAGATCAACTCACGTCCAAGGTCGTACCTCGTTACACTGTTACTGTGCCTTCATCCCTCGTTTTAACTCCAGTTCAAACTGATGAGAGCACCTATTGTAAACTCTGCATAAATGTTAGCTGCTTCTTTTTATTATGTTGCATAATTTTGTCCACGCCATTAAAAATGAATTATAATAGCCTTACTTTCAAAGTCATTCAACACGGACCTGAAATATTATAAGTGTTTATAAAAATTTGGGGAGTATTCGGTGTCACAAAAATTACATTTATAAATATTTTTACTATTTTTCCTTGTTAGTATGAAGTACGAATTAATAAGTATACTAAAAGAATCTTTACGGAAAATTGTATGATCTGAAAATTTAACAATGAGCACCAATACGTTTAGAGACTGTTGGTGGTTCCTGTTGAATTTTCAGACCATATCATTTCCCATAACTATCCTTATCATAGTTCAACAATAGATAACAGAAATCATTAATAAGTATACTCTTATATTTAACCCATTTTGACGATTAGTCTACAAGCACATGGAAGCGTGGAAGACACGTTAACATAGATTTTATAAAATAAATGTAAACACAAAATGTGAGTTCAACAGATAAATCGTTCGCTACACCTTTCTTAAGTCCATACTAGATTTAGTTTTTTCGTATTTTGTAGATTTGAAATTTTAAAATTGAAAAAATTTTGCACAGGTACACATACATGCGTGAAGGTACTTTCACCATATGCCAAGAATGTCGGTTATCGAGTTGAGTGTACTCACTACTGTGTACTAGAATGACTACTTGTAATAATAAAAACAATCATGGTTATGCTGTTTGCACGTTTTTGCAGTTTCCGCGATGAAACTATGACCCTAATCAAAGGCACCCCACCCTCCCTCTGCGCGAATGATTCTCTGGATCTGGAATTAGCCACCAGAGTCCGCAAGCACAATATTGAGAAATACTTAAACTCGTCAAAGCAATAATGTCACCATTATGCTCTGGTGCAGAAGAACTGTGGTGAAGACCAACAACTCGTATTTGGAAAGTGAGACCGTGGTGAGACCCACCCATAGAACCCTCAAATACCCGTGGGTATTTTGTGGTCTTCTAGCAGAAGATCGATATTTTTTGCGCGTTGACCAACCAAAGCCTTGAAGCTTGAAGCCTGAGTACTCGCCCGCAGTGAACAACAGTAGCTTCTACCGCTGTCTTAATTCTAAAGCGGGCAGGTGTTTGGTAACTTTATTTTCCCGTTGGTTTTATTTTCGCACGAATTTGCAAAATCTTTGATCTTGATCTCTCTTTGCATCGGGTTACTTGTTCCTTATCTAATCTACCCTTCTAAAGTTTCCCGCCTGGTGATTGGTAGATCGCGTAGGCCAAATGTTCTAAGAAAACAGCGACTCCTACCGCCTGCCGATTCTTTCAAAATAACATTAAAAATGGCGGCCGACATGGTCAACATGTCAATTTGTCGGCGTTTTGTTTGAAAGTATGTAAATTACGTTTATTTCAATGCATCACGAAGTGAATTCTAACCAAACAAGTTCGTTGAAACAATATTCAGACGAATAAGATGCACACTATGGATACATCGGCACTTCACAGTGACGCTTGTCGCCTGTGCGATGAAAATAAAGAGAAAATGCATAGCATTTTCTCGAAAAACGAGGAGGGACAACAATTGCTGCATCTCATCAAAGAATGTTTACCAGTTATTGTGAGTATTTGGCATGCTTTTCTTTCTCATCAGCTTCTTATGCTAAACTTGCAGATATACAGAACAGATCCTTTATCCAAGCAAATATGCCACGATTGCTTCAGCAAGCTAGAAACGTTCTATAAATTCAAAAAAACCAGTTTAGCGACAGCCACCAGGCATAAAAAGCATCTCCTCAATACCGAAAATAACAGCAACAAACGTATACAGTTGTATCTGTCTTGCGAAGACACTGAAACGGTAGTATTTAACCATTGGTTTTGCTCCAGGCTAAACATTTTGATTTTAGAATCAAGTGATAAATTCGAACAACATTCCTCATTATAGTAGCATAGGTACATCGACGGATGATCTTACAATTTCGTGCATCAACTGTAAGTCAACATGTTTCGACTCAACCATTATTAATAGTGAAGTTGAGTTATGTGCAGAATTACATAAAGCTATAGCAGACTCCTTGAGCAATAATAAAGTGATCACTCAAGATGCTGAAAAAATGGGAAGGAGCCGGAGACGACGGAGTCAGGCTTTCTACCATGAACTTGATGATTCACTGTGTAGTAGTCTGACCGAATTTACCAACACAGAAAGTTCCCAGTGTTACGAAGAGGACCACAGTGAAGTGGAGTCATACGAATCTGATAGTGAAGACACCCAAAGGGTAAAGAGACGCAAATTAAATAATTCTATAGTGTTAAATGGTAGAGAGAAGAGGAATACAGGTGAAATCGATTTGAAGGAAACAGAAGCGTTGCAGCAGTTATATCATAATGAAGCTGAATTCAGGTATTTTCCTCTAAGTTTAATGGGTTTAGCCCTAAATGTCATAAATAAACGCATTGTCCCTGAACATGAACCTGATGACTTTTTTGAACAAGTTCATGAACCTCAGTGTACATACTGCAAACAAAAGTTCAAAAACACTAAACTATTATCTTTGCACGAAGTTGAACATATGAACATTGAGTTAGGGGAAAAAGTAGATAGTCCTGCTTTATGGCATGATTCCAGAGATGACGCCCATATCCGTAACAAATGGCTGAACAGCTATGATGAGGTAGAGGAAGAAGAAGAAGAGGAAGATGCAGATGCAGATGCAGACTTTACAGAATGTGAAGTAGATCAGTCAAGAAATGACAGTCTACTAATTCCAGTTGGTACTGAGGCTCCCCAAGAACAAAAGGTCGCTGGCGAAATTATTCTAGTTAAGGCAAAACCTGTAGTAAATGGCTTAGCTCTGGCAGAATATTCCAAAGAGGAAAGGAAAGCGTTCTACAAGTCAATGAAAATAGGAGGTGTAAATAAGAAATTCTGCTCTCTTTGTCGATATAGTTTTAAAGATAACTGGGCAATTGAGTCTCATTATTTCTCATTAGCATGTTATTATACTTGTCGTTATTGCGGAATGCGTTTTAACAAGCAAAGGCACAGATTTGACGAACACGTTAAAGAACATGAGGATCAGGGAGATCCGTTATCAACGAAGATTTACGCTGCCAGTAAATTAAACAATTTTGTTCCGCGGGTGATACAACCAGACAAAGTTAAAAAAATTGTAGCACAGCATGACCAGGAACAGAAACTTCCATCGATCAAAGTCAGAAATTTCCAACGCAGAAGCCTACAGCCTGATATTAAGATTAAAGAAGAAAAAATGGACTCTGATGAGGAGAAGCCATCCCCATCTCCGCAAAAAACTCCTCAGACAACAGCTAAAACCAGCAATCAAGCCTATTTTTGTAGGAAATGTTATAAAGTGTTCTTCAAATTAGACGAATTTAATATTCATAGTAAGAACTGTGACTATAATCAATTCCCTCAAAGTCGCAACAATGCTAACAATAAATTCACCACTAGATATAATTCTAATGGAGAAATGCTTTCATCAAGTGGACGTCCCATGAGGCACTGTGTGCGTGAAACTGGTACTTATAGAGATGAAGCTTACATCCCTGACGGGGCAGCGAAAGAAACGGCTCAAAATCAACAAAGTTTTGTCTGTTTTATATGCAACACACCTTTTCCAACCATTTATTCAAGAAATAGTCACATGAGGATACATAAAGGTGAAACAAACAATGCTAATAGGTCTCCTATTGTTACGCAAAAACTCAAACAAATTACAAACACAGAAAGAGTTCAGAGTTTCCCAGGTTACATTAAGCAGGAGCCTCTGGAGCCCGAAATTCAAATTCACGAATCTGAGCAAAATTTCCACTCCAATAATTCTGTTGCTGCAGTTAGTATTACTCCAATATCGAAGAATCCAAACCAGAAAGCAACAATTAATCCAAACATCATGAAACTGGTCCAGAATAATCCGCACTTAACAATAAGGGCTAACAGATCGCCAGAGAGACAACCGGCCCCCTCGGTCAGCAACACACAGAACAGTTTATCAGATGCTGATAAATCTTACAAATGCTCTAGCTGTTGGGAAGCTTTCTCTAACAAATCACACTTATATTTTCACAAAAAGAACCAGTGTGAGGGTTCAAAATATCCTTGCCCATTTTGTAAAAAACGCTTTGGTACAGAAGCAGCATACAGTTCACATATATTTTATAGTCATCCAGAGTAAATTTTAACATTTATGCTTTCCACAGTGTGAAAGTAAATTAGGATTTGATTAAGGGGTACCTATCTTGGTCATACTATCCATCGTTATTTTAAGTACAGATTTTAGAAAGAGAAATTTTATATATACACAACAAAAATTGCCATTAATTTTTTTATTTTTTTTTTTGTGATATAAATACGTAATGTATAGTAGTATATGTACATAATTTTATATTTTATACATCTTTAATTTACTTTTCATTGTGTTGAATAGCTTTGTTAAAATTTATTCTATTTTAGGCATTTCTATTATTTATTTATAAGATGCAAAATACTCACTAAATGTTACAAAATTTATAAAAATCTCGCCCTAGTAATTAGTCAGACATGAACAAAAATTGACTTGGATTTTATTTTGAAAAGATGAACATTTGGTGTAAACTGATTTCAGTATTTAAACAACAAAGTTTATTAATTTCGTGTTTAGATTAAGTCATTTCCTACTATGCTAAGCGTAATTTTAAATTTTTGTAAAATTAGCATAAAGTCGTAGTATATATAATGTATGTAAATAATCATGTAACAGGTTTATGACGTGAATAAACACTATATTTAGTAAAAACGATCTTTACAGTTCAGGTAACCCAATGTCTGTAATCGGAAAAGAAACTCATGAAAAAAACGAAACGGTACTGATGAATTTATCTTTTATTCAGATGACAAGCGTATTGACTAGTTGTTAATAAGAGCACTTCCACATATAAAAAATATTTTGTTGGGTTCTAAGTTTATAGAACTAAATTAATTACATGGTAACTCACAAGTAGTATCAAATACCCACATGTCTACATGAACACAAAATAATACTCTTCCCAAAAAAAGTTCTAAATAAATTAGCATAGTTAGCCTTTGCACAGCAAGTTTTGGTCAAACAACAGATAAACTATGAATGTATGATGACAATGAATACTTAAAACATATATCTAATATTAAATATTTTTAGTTCTTTCATTTTGTTATTCAGTATTATTTGATTTAGGACATTAGTAGTGCTTACAAATAGGCGATTATAACATACAGTAACCAAATTATTAAATTTAATTTTATGTGGAGTAGTTCCCTTACTCATAAAAAAAGAAAAATAAATCAACATGATCACAAAAATATACATACGTTATTAGAATAGATTAGTTACAAATCCCAGAAATAACAAAAAACTCTACCTATCAAAAATACTGTACATAACAATATCATTAGTTTAAATAAATGCAAAGAACTTAGAATGCCTAACTTTTCAACATTAATTCCCTTTTGCGATTCTAGCCCTTATGGTATATGTAGTTTTTTACAATATGGTCACTATTATACAGCCAATCATGTTAAACAAAAACGTCTTCAACATGCACGAAATATTAGGAAACAGTCTGAACAAATTCTTCTTGGTTTACTTCTTGCGAATCTGGAGAAGTATACAGTATATTGGCTGATATGATAATTGGATATTCTAAATCTTTATCAAGGGACATTATCTGTATCTCTTCACCTTTAGCAAGACCCAATTTCAATATTTCTGACTGTTTTGAATACACAATCTGCCTCTGCTCATTCAGCTTGACAACAGTGACTCTGCAACATTACAACTTGTTACTACAAATTAAACATTAATCTCATAAATATACCTTATAGCTATATGCCTTGTGGTTTGAAAACTTAACAACTGTTCAAATTCGGACCTATGATTCCTTTTAACAGAGAGTGTAAATCCATCAGTCATCATCAATAAATCCATTCCAAAATGGAATCCAGTCCACCTCCATACGTGTCGTTCGTTAACTAGCAAAATCCTACCACAACGAAGACTTGTATCAAGAAACACATCATCTGGAACTTCATTGGGTCTAAAAAAAATTGATAATAATGTAAAAGGTGGATTAACGCTGTTTGTTTACCCTTTGTCATCATTTTGGTTTACTCGTAAAACTTGTTTCCACTGTTGGAGAACTACGGGATTAAGCCAACTATGCGGAATAATATTATCGTGAAGGACTAATTCTACATCCATTTGATGCGATATTAAATTTGGTATCCGTAGACCTTGGAAAACCGGCACAAATTTTCGTCCTTCGTCCGTTAAAAGATACGGCATTTCATCTAAAATAATTTACAATAACAAAACATAATAAATTGTCAATAGTAATTACTTTTTCTAGAACAAAAGAAGTTGTTGACTTCTTTGCTATTTGGTGCTTCCTCACCAATTTCAGGATGGGTGAGTATAAACACCCAATATTTTAATAGTACATAGATAGAATATTCAGTCTGCATTACAAATAAGTCAGGATGAGCTACTAACTTAGCCATCAAAGGTATGGGAATGCTTTTTAAATTAACTACAGGGTGACTAAAGTAATACGTCATTAAATTAACTAGAAACCATCTAAAACAAACTTCTTGCAACTTCTTTTCACCATACTGGCACGCTGCATTGTAGTACTCTAAAGACGTCTGAAAAAAAAATGGTGAACTGAAAGCTTTTTTAAAGAGTTTTATACCTTTGGATTTATTGTTTCTAACATCACTTCTGTACATTTTTCAATCAATGCGTCAAGTTGAAACATTGTAGCTGTCGCTAACGTCGATACGATCTGCAATGGATTAAGGGTAATTTCACAGTTGTACAGGGATCCGAATACCACTTTCAGGGCTGAAAATCAAACATCAACACAAATAAAACAATATATCTTTTCTGAAATTAACTTTCAAAAGTATGAATCGACTCTAGTGCGCATTTCTCTTTTTATTTCAGATCTTTTACTTTTAATATACAGGCAAGGTTGCTAACAGAATTATGAAAAAGTTGCATTGTATTTTTACAATATTTCATTAGATAAACTAAACCTGTTGGAAACATTTACATATAAAAAGTATCAAGATTTCATCTGTTATATTATTGAAAATAGATTTAAAAAAAAGTAAGAGACCAAAGTAGCACGGTTATTTGACTAACATATTTTAAAATGATTCTCGACCACATTGAGTGTTCTGTTTTTGAGAAATAACACACAATTTAGCTTTTTTAAAACAGAACACCCTATATATTTTTATATTTTTTCATTGGCATTTTCCCAGACTTTCAAACCGTAGTTTATTTTTGAAATTCCGATGACGTTGCCACGTTATTTTAATTTTCTTGAATTTTTTTGGAAACAATGGTTCACCAAAAAATCCCAATTAGGTTATTTTTAAAATCTGTAACGATATTTTGTGGAGAGATAAGCTTATTGTGATATAAATTAGGTCTTAATATACAGTGTTTATAAAAAATCAAAAATATAACAATTATTAAATATCAAAATTTCAGCTTTTTCAAATAGAATCCCGTTATTGTATTTTACTGCGTTTGTATTTTCTTTCTTTTTCGTTAAGTATTTCTATATCTAAAGTTTTTAAGAGACAGAAAATAAAAAATAGAGTACGATCAAAGACGTTGTATTATTATTAATATATCCTTCCAAAATAATATATCCAGAGTGTTCAATTTGAAAAAACTAAAATACCGGTATTTGGAAATCGTAATGTTTTTAATTTTTGTTTATAAACACTCAGTACATCAAAATTTGATGTAAATGATATCATAACAAAGTATATACCTGTGTTTACTTTTCCATAAAATATTCTAACAGATTTTAAAAATAATCCGATTGCGATTTTTTTTGTGAACCCCTGCACTGCTAAAAAAATTGGTCGAAGGTTATACAATAATACAATTCGAAAAATTATAAAATCTGATTCTGCGAATTTTATTTTTTTATCAGAACCCTTGTAAGTTATGAAAATATGTGTGGAACATTAAAGTAAATGTAAAGAAGCATGCTGGGCGTATGTTCTAAATGAGTTTTCCCTTAACAAAATTTTCTGATGACGTCATCAACATTTTCGCAAAAACACATTAAATTCATTAATTTTTGAGTTATGTTTAAGAAATTTAAAAACTTTTAATGCAATGATAAATCACAAGTATCGACTTATCATACCTTGCAGATTTTGGATAGGATTTATTCGGAAAAATTTTGAGATAACGTTATAATTTTTTGGGAGGGGATAAACGAATAAATTTTGCTTAACGATTTACCATGATTACGATAACCTTAAAATATTTACAAGATTTCAGAGCAATGAGTTTTGCAGTTTCAAAGTTATGTAGCAAAATATTGTTATTCAGTTTTGAATTTCTTCCAAAAATTCTGAACGTCTAGGGTGAAAATTCGACACGCATTCACACACCACAAGTGCAGGAGTATCTTATTTTTAAAAATTTAAAAAACTTTTTATAAATTTTGGAAATGACGTCATCCCATTGGTGATGGGGATGATTAGCCAAATTTTAGGTGGAATTTAACCATCTACCTACATGATATTCTTAACATACATCCAAAATATGACAATAATCGGTCGTGTAGTTGCGGAGATTACTTGTAAAAATGGATGCAGACAGACGGAAATGGGAGACCACTTTTTTCGTACTCTAATCAACATACAAATTATTTAAGTTTAAATAAAGTACTTTTTGTAACGAGATACGCTCAAAAGATTTAAAAAAATAAAAAATCTAATGAGTGTTACGTTTCTAACTAAAAATTGTTACTTTTTGAAATTTTGCTACTTTAGTAATACCGTGTGATTTTTAAAATTCTTGTGTTCTAGTTGGCCATGACACGTACGTCACCAGTGCAACTGAAACGGCAAACTAGAGCAAAAATTTTTAAAAATCCCCGATATTTTTAAACACAACCTTCCGGATTCTATGCTTATTAAATTAAAACTATTCTTCAATAAAGATTCATTTATTAATTTTTTGGAAACATAAGTATTTTAATTTCAATACGCATAAAGCAAACATTTAGACGTTATTCTGCTTTATGAATTTTTGGGAAATTAAATAGGTCTTTCTTCAAATAATAAAGAAAATTAGAGGACTTGAAAATCAACAGAAGTTCATATATTCAAAACCATATTACTAAAGTACTAATAAGACTTCACTTCAAAACATTTTTTAGAGAAAATGAACACAATGTTATTAATGTCTTATCCAAAATTTTAAATAACTCTTCAGTTTCTTGGATAAAATATAAAATTTGATTCTATAGTTTCCCCAGTTCTAATTCGGTTTTATGATAGTACCCCATTATGTAAAAGTTAACGTCCTTAACAACAGATTACTACTGCAAGTGATGGGACAGTCATAAATGAGGATTATGCAGTATAATGGCAACGGCATGCTTAAATCCATATTTATGACTGCCCTATCACTTGCAGTAGTAATCTGTTGTTAAGAAAGTTAACTTTTACACATCATAAAACCGAATAAGAACTGAGGAAACTATACCATTCTAAATTTTTTTATGATAACCCACACAAGTAAAGAAACATGCTACGCTGCAGTTTCAACTGCGATGGTAATGACGTCATCAAAAATTTTAATTTTAATACGTCTAGTGTAACACCAATGACAAATGAACTAGGTGCTCAGAATTTCACGAAAATTAAAGAAGCCAGTTTTGAATTAATCGATAAAACAAATTGCTTCATTAACTTGTTTGAAAAATTTTGTATCAATAACTGTAAAAATATAAATTAATTACCAAGGTACAAACTACATTCCATCTAGAGGTATAGTTTTAACATTATTCAGTACATTTTTGAGATGACGTCATCGATAATCTAGACAGGATGAATAAATAAATTTTAATTGAAACATTTTATTTTTTACGACAACCAATGCAGGTTGAAAGCATGGATATTTTATCACAGCACAGAAAAAATCATGTCTTTGTGTAAATTTCAAGTGAGATTTTCGTAGCAAAATTATGAAATGACGTCGTTAAATTTTTGGCAGAAAGGAGAGGCACATTTAAATTAACGTTAGATATTAGACATTCATCAAAATGACCTGCCAGACTTTCATAGCTTACGGTGGGGAAATAAAAGTAAGGCATTCTTAGATTTATTATTATGATCATTATTTGTGGTACTCCTCCGGGGGAAAGCAGATTAACCAATCATACGATAACCAACTCATAAAACGTGTAACTGATATTGCAGCTAATTACATTGATAAAGTTACAGTTGAGATTTGTCGTTAACAATAATTTTAACGAATGTGTTATTTCAAGTTTTGTTGCCTATTCTTTTTGTTGGAAATATTATATTAAGACATAATCTCTTTTAAACTACTCAACAAATTCTTTTTATTTTATATTACAATAGAGATTGTACAACTTTAACCATCAGAATTTGCACATACATCACCTCAAAAACTCTGATGGCATCAATTCAAAATATTCTTACACAAATCTCACTGTAGAAATACAACATAATATGCTCGCTTTCCTGCGATCTAACAATTCACTTTTCCTCAAAAAAAAAAAGAGCATTAAGTTATACTTATCGCAAAAATTACAAACCAATTTCTTTGAAATTACCGTAAAGACTAGCACTGATTGTCTGATTAAATATTACCGAAAATTTATTTATTCATTCATTCATCTCACAGGCTGATGAAGTCAGTGAAAAAAATATTTAATGCATATGCATCAAGATATCGTATTACATGTAATTCAGTATTATACTCTTATCAAAATCTCCTTATCTCTTAAGTTTTGTCCACATCCATGCAACATTGGTATGGCTTGAGTATAAAGGTTCTGTGGAAACAACTTCACAATTTTTATTAAATAAGACTCATTTATCTACTTTATCTTTTATCATTCATTCAATTTTTATTTTGCAGATTATTAAATATTAAGAAATTTTGAAAGTCTTACCCTTAAAGTTTTATGTCACTATCAAATACAGCACTCTGTGTATTTAAACAAATTCATATTTGTATTATTTGTTTTTTAAGGTCTCAGTAGTAAGAAATTACAAATTTATTATACTGCAAACAGGTAATAATAATTTATAATTATTTATAAACGACAATGGAGAGTATAGATATGTAATGACAGGTAGGTATACCATGTTAACTTCGTGGACATAACAATCACTTACACTCTATCGTAATAAGAGGGTCCACGACATCAATGTGTATGTACTTTTTAGTTGCTTCAAGCCATGACCCTCCAAACATACTTGCAAAATATGGACTCTGGCACAAATATATCTTATGTAAATAAAATTCCTCACCCAAGGCACAAACTGTCACATCTGAATTTTTACCTTCTTCAAATAATGCTTGGTAAATATATTGTGCGGTACTCACAAGTTTTTTCCTAAAATACAAAAACGTGTAGCTCATGTGCAATGCAATTTGTGTGATGTTACTCACCTTTTTGGAGTGTGTAAGGCAATATCGATTACCTTATTAATCTCATCGTCTTCAGTATCTGAATGTTTTCTTTTCCTTCCAGATATAAAACTTGTTACATTTTCTACTATACTATTACTAGAATAAATAATCCCCATTGTAAAACGTAGTTATTAATACCAAAAATGGTTTAAATGTTTATAACTAGCTTTTAGTTAAATTAAAATCAGTATTAAAAGCGTCATTTCGATAAGTCACTGTCACTCATGTTAGAAAAAATCTTTAAAAAATTGAACATATACACACAACTTTTTGTAAAAGTCACAAAAACTGTGCAATAATAATAAATTTGCAGAAAACTTTCTCTCTTTCGTAATTGTTTACTCCATGTGCGACTCGTAATAATAATTAGAAAATCATATAAAAATTATAAACGCTCACAAATCTTACGTAAATTATTATCATTTTTCCATTAACATTACCATAGATCATTAATTGCTCACTTATCATTAGTTATGTATTTTTAGTGGTGAAACATATAAAATTTCCAAAGGTATAAATACGGTGTGCCCTCCGCCACTGATTATCGGTAACAGAACTTACAGCTTTACCGATTAAACGTAAACATAACCGCTAACGTTGCAGATGTTTGACACTTGAATTCTTGTGCTAGTAAAATGAGCAATACCTCCTCGAAGTGGAAATGGTTATGTCACCTCCAAAAATAAACACTTTCACACCATTCACAAACCATTTTTAAAAACACTGTCCCGTTTCCGATGATTTCATCTGCCCACATAAAAGCGCGAACAAAATGAGCGTTTTCTTGAGGTTAAGACATGAAGAATATAGGTTATGTCATTTCTTTTTGTCCAAAAATTCGTACAACAGACGGATAATTTATCAGCTAGGTGATAAGAATGTTCTGTTACGATCGCAACGAAGAAATTTCTCTTTGCAGTCGACTATAGATTCATTTGCAAAAACTCAAACTGGAATTTTCAAGACACTGTCGGAAAGTACTCCAGTTGAGTACTGCCAAAAATTTTTGCTAAACGTTCACGATGTAACAGGACTACCATGGTGGGCTACAATAATATGTACCACAATGATGTTGCGTTCTTGCATAACGGTGCCGTTTGCAATTTATCAAAATTATATTTTAGCAAAACTGGAGTACGTCAAGATTGAGATGGATGATATTGCCAAAGAATTAAAAAAGGAAACGGCGGTTGCCGTTAAAATGTATAATTGGGATGAAAAAACTGCAAGAATTAGTTTTAAAAGATCTGTAATAACGTTATTATTTATTAGTGCTTTTTTTATGGTTGTTAATTTTAGATCAGGAAACAGTGGACTAATTTAATTGCAAGAGAAAACTGCCATCCATTTAAAACAACACTACTGGTATTTTTCCAATTACCTTTATGGGTGTCACTTTCAATTAGCTTAAGAAATTTAGTGTATATGTTGCCAAATCAAGATTTTCATGCTCAGTTGACTTTTACCGAGTTGAGTGTTGGTGGATTTGGCTGGATACCTAATTTAGTAGAAGTTGATTCTTCATTAATTTTGCCAGTTTGTTTCGGTTTACTGAACTTAGGCATTATAGAAGTAAATGGTAATTTTTATTCAGTGCTAATTAATAATGTGCTAATTTGCAGCTGCAAACTTTGTCTAAAGTGAATGTACCAACAAAACTCCAAAAATTCTTAACCAATTTTTTTAGAGGACTTAGTATCTTGATGATTCCCATTGCTTCAGTCGTACCATCTGTAAGAAACTGGAAAACAATATTTAATTTTTGTTATGATATCATTTTTAGTGTGTCGTTTTATACTGGACTACATCAAGTGCTTTTGGATTCGTTCAGAATTTAATTTTGGTGTCACCTAAAATTAGGCGACTATGTAAAATTCCACAGACCCCTAGTGAACTGGAACAACCATACAAACATATAATAACGGGCATCAAGTACAGATTCAAATATTTTTCAGACAAAAACAGTTAATAAATAATTGAAACCAAATAATTTATTAGTCTAATTTCATTGCCATTTTTTAAAATTAGCGGGATTCAGTGACGTTTGCAATGTCAAAATTGTTTTTGGCGGCATCAAAATTGACAGTTGACATTTCTTAAAATAAACATTCGACTGGAATTGCAGCTGCTCGGTGTGTATCGTGTATACGTAAATTGTATCGACGTCGACGATTACGTTGTCTACGTGTCAGTGTTCCAGTTAGAAACTCCAAAACAGTTACATACTTCACAGTCTGTTGTGTGGAAGAGAAGGTATACCACGTTGTAGTGGTTGGTCGTGTTTGTCCAATTTTATAGTGATTGAACGGCCGAAGTTTAGGGTAACAAACCACCGTAAAAATTATTTAAAGTTAATCAATAAGTAATAGACTATTAATATATAAAAAAATGGTAAAGCCGGTCAGAAAAAACTCAAACAAAAATCCCCCGATTTTGAGTCACGAATTTATTATTCAAAATCATGCAGATATTGTCTCCTGCGTGGCTATGGTATTCGTGGTTGGCCTCATGATTCAGGTAAATATCAAATTGTGAGAAATTTTTGTCATATTCTTCCAAAAAACTTTGACATATGTTCAGAAATGTAATACGGGTTTTGTTTTAGGCTACATCACCACTGGCCTCAGTTTTCATAGCTCTTCAGCACAATGTGACAGAAGCTGGTGAAATTCCATTGTACAGTCCTGGCGTGAAAGATTGGGCAGGTGTATTTTTTTACAGTTTGATTTGTATTGTGATCCACGCCATCATTCAGGAGTACGCTTTGGATGTAAGTGTGGTGTATGTCTGTATAGTCAGAATAATAACAATTTTTGTTTATAGAAAATATCCAAAAAGTTGCATTTGTCCAAATCAAAACTTGCGGCGTTTTCTAATAGTGGACAGCTGGCAGTGTTCTTTTTGGTATCCACATTTTGGGGCGCCGATATTGTTTTAAAAGAACATTATTTGCCTGAGATTGCGCGGTTGTGGTCTGATTATCCAGCTCCTATGCCATTCCTTGTCAAACTATACATTATCATACAGCTCGCTTATAGTCTTCATGAATTGCCTGAACTGTACTTCCAAAGAGTAAAACGGGAGGAGTATTCATCAAAGGCTATTCAGAGTATTGTCACTCTACTTTTAATAGCTCTTCCTTACTTTTTAAAGTAATTATACTATTAGTGTATTAATTATAATGCAGCGTTTACTTTCAGCTTTAACCGTTTATTGGTTTGTCTTTTATTGTTACATCATGCATCAGAACTATTTTCTCACATTTCCCAGCTGATTCAAACTATTGATAAAGATGAGAAGTTTTCAAAAGGTAGTAATGTTTATATATTTTTTAATTCAACAAGATGATAATTTTCATTGCAGTTGCACGTTTAGTGTCCAATGTTTTGCAATTCTTCGCTCGTCTAGGAAGCATAATTTTGGCTATTTTAACTCTATGGCATGGTTTATCAAAAGGTGACCAACAGCCACTTGATATTCAAAATGGTTACTTTAATACACCTACAATTCGTCTTTCAATTTTATCACTGATTTTAGGTTTGCAAATGTGAGTTTTTTACAATTGATGAAAAGTATAAAATTTGTATGCCTTCTTTTGCAGGTATTTGATATTTGAGGTTATTAAGCAAGAAGTTGCTCGTTCTCGTGAAAACAAAGTATATACAACTGTTCCCAAACCTAAGGTGCAAAAAAAAGAAAAGTCAAAAAAAAGTAAGGTGTAAACAAATTTCTTTGCTTTTATTAATTATAATTATTGTAGATAAAAAAGTTAGTCATGAAGAGTCTGACCTTCCTGAAGTTGACCAAAATACTAACAAGACTTTGAGACATAAACAGAAAGTAAAATAATTGTTTCCTTTTTTTTTGTATATCATATATGTGTAATTAAACCAGACTTTACTGCTGGTGACTGTTTGTTTTCTACATAAAAATAAAAACGAAATTTAAGTTTTTTTTGTGTTTAATATATTGTTAAATATGCCTGTTCACGTCACGAGTGGTAGAAGTATAACAACGGTCTATAATCAATACTCCAAACTAGAATTATCATATTTCTTAAATACTGAATTAAATAGACCTGGGTTTGGTGTTAAGTAGTTTTGATTCTTATAATAATATTTATTGTAAAATGTAACCCGCCCTATTATTTGCCAATTTTGACTGGTAAAATGTAGGGTTACTGCAGTGGAAAATATGCGTAGGCACAAGCATTATGTGATGTGCATAAAAATCAAACAGGTAATCTATTCTGTAATCTTTAGGTATGCAATATTTATGACATTTTATAAAAACAAAGTAATTGACCCCCTTTCTTCGCTTTTATTGACGTGTTATATGTGAAATTGTGCGTTACAATCATAAAACTATATGGAATATTACGTATTTGCATATTTTTGGCATTAAATGAATCGATTTAATCTCGACTCTTGCGCCACGCGATTAACAGTTAATCATTTTTATAAATAAAAATCGAAGTTTTGTTATATATGTTTTTTGGGTCCAATGTAGCGCTGTATTTCGAGGTTTAAAAATTTAATAACACTTTTCGACGAAGAATAATTTATTAACTCACTAGGTACAACGGTAGGTATATATGTATTTATAAGTATAAACCGCGGCGCAGGTGTAAACTATAGATCCTGAGAGTTCGAAGCTGAAGACCGGGCACCAGTGCAAAAGATGGATAAAATATCTTCAAGGTTTTATATGAAGAGATCTTAGTAATAAGAGTAACTGAGTGATTTGGAAGTTCAGGACTACAAACGTCCATTTTATACGACCAGCGGAGGTGGTGGACCAATCCTTGGAGTCTCCTCCAGTTGGTGGCGTAAATAAGTGGGTTGGCGCGCTTAAGAACTGATGCTGGTTACCTGTGCACCACGAAGAGGATGTTGGCGACATGTTGGCTGAGTGCTTTGGTATATACTCCAGATACCCCATAGCTCCCCTTGGCTACAATCTTGGTATGGTTACGCTCGGTTATGATCAAACTTTATATTATATTGCTGGTTGCCTATACAAAAATGTTACAGAAAAAGACTGATATTTTGAAGTAATAAAGAAATTTGTCGAACATTATTTATACAGAACTTCCCTTGCCCCTGAAGTATATTCGAACAAATACGCTCCTTTGAAAAATTATAAAACTTGACTTAACATTTTTACTTATCGAGCGTAAACTAAGAAAGTACTGTAATCAAATCCATTTGACAACTGGTTACCTTCATATTTTCTCGATGTGTCATAACCCTTAGAGTACGAAAATATAGGTCTCTTGTTTTCGTACGTCTGTCTGTCCGTCGTCTGTGTCGATTTTTGTTAGACAGATAATCTCTGAAACTACCGGACCGACTGCCGTCAAATTTTATATATGTATTGTGAATGTCATGTAGATGGTAATTAAAATACTAACCAAATTTTGACTAATCATCCCCACCAACAATCTGATGACGTCACATCAAAATTGTACATAGTAAATGGGTTTTAAATTATATAAAATAACATAGCTCCACATGTGTACGATAATTAAATTACATTTACTATTGTAAATTTTGGAGATGACGTCATCCCATCGTGTGTGGGGATGATTAGATAAATTTGTTTACTGTTTACTACACGATACTCATAACGTGCATTTAAAATTTGACAACAATCGGTTTGGTAGTTTCTGAGATTATTTGTCTAATAACAACATGAGGAGACGGTAGATAGACGGAAACGGAAAACCTATTGTTTAGTATTCTAAAGGTCATGACACGTCCAAAAAACATGAAACTAGCCATTCGTCAGATTGACTCTATTACAATACATACCTACTTCCTTATTAGCTTACGCTCGGGGAGTAAAAATTGGTCCAAGGTGACTTAGAAAGAACTTTTCTCGCTTCTGAAGTACATATATAGGTCCATAACATATCCATCGTTTTTGAAACATTATAAAATTAGAATTTGTGAATTTTAATATTTTTTTATGATAACCACTAATACAAATTATGATATGTCTGTAGTGTTTAAATGAAGGTTAAGAAGCATGCTATGCGTTTGTGAGTCTAATAATAATAGTACTGTATGCCCAAAATTTCTGGAAAATGGGGCGAGCTATTATTGATTTCGTCATTAAAATAAATGGTCACATTCATTAGCATTACTGCTTTGAGCCAGTCTGTATGAGCAATTAAAAAAAAATTGGTCGAGGGTTATTTCGACAGAACTTCCCTCGTTCCTGAAGTACAGTAGTACAAAACCACCTTTCTCGCATTGAGTTTTGATTTTGCGAATTTTATTTTTTATGAATCAATAATACTTTTTTATTAACAAAACGGGGGTGTCTCCTTAAATTTTTCAGTACAATTTTATCGTCGTAAGTTACTAAATATTCAACTGAATTAATTATTTTTATTTAAAGGCAAACAATTTCATTCGCGCAGAATGAAAATGAACTCCCGTAGTTAGCTAGTGGTCACTGTTTCAAATGTGACCCGATTCTAGCCAAATACAGCGACTAGAGGCGCGGTTTCCATGGGAATGGTGTAAACGAAACGTCTAATTGAGTCTATTTTTTCTACTCTACATGTATAAAACGTCGGGAAACATGAAAACTCTATTACAACACTTATTAGCTTACGCTCAGGAAGTAAAAAACCCCAGAATTAAAATAGTGTATTATACCGAGGCGGGAAAGTATTCCATTCCTGTTGAAAGAACTATAGTTTACCGAGAGGCGTAGCTTCGAGGTGAACTTATTTTCAAGAGACAGAAACAGTATTTTTGCCGAGGTTCGTATACTATTTCATTTATAATCATTTAATAAAACAAGCAACATTATAATAATAAAAAGTTTACTTCCATAATATTGTATGTACGGCGATAATGAGTGACTCATCGTCGGTGACGGCGGCCGGACGGCGGCGTTCGCTAAAGAAAAGCCTGGAAGCGGAAGTCGCGATGGGTACTCCAGAGAAACCTCGATCGCGGAATATCTAGAAAGAAGTATGGGTCTAAATAGAGACCACTTTCGGGAATGATTCATTCAGTCAAAGAGAGAATCCAGTCAAGTTGCGCCGGGATTATTTTGTACAGGCTTTTCCGACTCATTGAAAAGTGTATCCGTGGAATCGCTGACTTTCCAACCTTTACCTTTTTTTTACAAAGCTGTATGTTGCTGATTGTGAATATTTTTAGAAAATAACTTGTAATCAAGACGTTTTAAAACGAAAAGTTTCAGAAACTTCGTTCATATTAATTACATGTTAATAAAAGGTAAATGTTCACTGTTTTCAAGAAAGCAAAAAACTAAAGGCAGCCGGAGGTCATAAGTAACAAATTAAACCTTCAAAAAGTGCAAAAGTTAAGAATCGGCACAATATACACAATAAATAAAAATGACGACGTCGTAAATAGATAGGAAAACTGAAAAATGAATTGAGGAAAGAGCAACAACGATTTACTGTAGAAAAATGGCCCATAAAATAAAATAGATGGATAGATAAGCAGCGTAAAGAAGAAATAAAAATAAGAACGCTATTCAGATAAAGAATATTGTAAATGACGGATACCACAAGCAAAGAAAAGAAGTACCTAAAACAAATGTTCAGAACACGAAAAAGGAAATATATAAAGCACAAAATAAAGAACAATGGATACAAGTTTAAAAGAAATGATATACTTATGGTACAGTATTTTTAGAAAAGGACATAAGAATAGTATGTCAGGGAAGGAGAGTGTTCTAAAAGGATAAAGGATACGATGTACTTAAATCTGCTAGCTACAACGAATTTGAAGTGAATATTCCTGAGACAAGCAAGCTCGCTCCCGACGACTGTTCAAAACAGCATTAGAAAAAGCGATTGGGGTAAACGGTCACACTGTCTGACGTATGCAAATGATGTAGTGGTCTTAACCCGTGTTGAGTGAAAACTGGTTGAAAAAAACCATGAAGCTCGAGAAACGGTTAACGCGATGGGTTTAGACGTACCTAAAACTAAATCATACCAAGAAAAGTAAAATTTTGGAATTAAGGGCGGTCTATACAGATACAGATACAGAAGGAGAACACTTACGGTCATCATAATAAGATTATTTTTTTAATTTATAAACAGACCACATGATAATTTTATGCTTATATTATAAATTAAACTAAGTATTTTCACTTTTTACATTTTTTTTTATTTATAATTGACACTGGTAATAATTTTCATGTTCCTGAAACTTTAGTATTTGCCAGACTTAACGGAATATTTTATTTTTCCATCCCCGTCAATAGATGAAGAACTCGAACTAAAGGCACCTCTTGGACCTTGGGCGGCGCCAGAGACCTTCACACCGGTACCAGTATCTTCACCAAAACGAGAAAACAATGTTGGGCTGTAACAATTAAAAATTCATTTAATAGATATGACAATACCAAAAACGTGCAACTGAGAATATAATTCTCCGGTTATTATAATACAGTAGCAACACTTAACAACCCAGTGTAATTATTATAAGTTTAATTAAGCGGTGCGTATTTACCATGCATTTACCTATATTTTATAAAATTATCGGTGAAACATTCAAGCAATGAAAAATGAAGACACTCTCAATGCTACCAAGGTTATGATGTCATCAACAATTTTTTTAAATGACGACACTCTTAACACATATTGAAAGAAGATAGGTAATAACTGAGAATTCTCCTACAAAATTTTTATCAATAAAATGAAAAAGTAAAATTTTGTCAAAATTTAGTTTTCACATAGGCTATAATATGTCAACAATAAATATTTTGACTGTCACCTTGAAAGTTATTGTGTCATACTCATAAACAAAAACTTGTCAAATATAAGTTCGGCGAGAAATTTTAGTGTTGTTTACATTTCTAATTAATGCATTAAAAAGATTTGGCAATTTAAATAGAATTGATGATGTCGATAATATTTGATCGAAACTTTCAAGTACATTACAAAAGATTTTAAGCATTTATTTCGTCCATTATTTTGATCTAATATGAGTTGCACTGTCACTATAAAATGTCTCAGGTTTATAAGCAATAGAATAATACTAGTAAAATTACACATTGCAGTGTACTGCAGATGTCTTTAGTTTTAATTATTTTATCAGTTATAGATAAGGAAAAAGATGTGGATGTATTAGACAATAATAAACCACAGATTAGAAAGTGTATCACAATGTAAATTTTCAAACGAGATTTAAAATTTTTGATGGATATGGTAATCCCTGCTTGATACAAAACCGCAAAAAAAGTTAAACTTTCTTATTCACAACCGTGATTATTTCAGTTTTTTTTCAATAACTGCAAAGTGTTTAATGAAAAAAAATCTCTTACATGCATTGAACCATATAAAACTCAATGCACCTATGTATTAAGATAATTTTAATTATATTATACCGTAAACGGAAGTCTAAGGACAAGAAAGATACCTTCAAACAATATTGGATGTATTGCAACCACAATAATTACAACGCAAAAACGGCAGTAGCTCTAGATCTAGGATCTACTCTTAAGTATATACATAATTAAAAAGTTATATTAAAAATATTTTTTTGTCCGTTTCCAAAAGATATACAATCCTCAAACAACCGTGTCAACTATTCCCACACTTCCCCTACCTATAATGACTACCAATACATATTTCAGTGTGTAGCTTCACGGTACAATTGTGTGTTGTAAATAAATTTACATTTATTTAATTGTCACTGAACAACAAAATTTAACTTTTTGATTGTTTTCATAATAATAATACTCAATTTTTGTTTAAAACATTCTTTTAAACACTAAAGAAACAGCTAAAAAATTCCTAGTTCTAATTCAATAATTATGTCGTTCTGCGTTTTTACGCTACTTTCCGCTACTTTTCTTTTTCGTTGCACTACAATAGAGATGTTAGATGTTTTTTTCCTTAAGAGGAAAAAATAGTGCTTTCATTCCTAGTCTCTTTACATTTTAATTCTCGTTAACAAATTCTATACAGTGTCATTAAAAAAAAAAAAAAAACTAAGAAGATTCTGTACCAAGAAATAAGCGTCATTTTTATGTGCAAATTTTTTGACTAATTTTGTAAATACATCAGCAAATACATTTTTAATCATCCGACCAAACACATTAGGTAACCTTCACGGCAATGAGTCGTACATTAGAAATAAACCACAAACTCATACAATTATTTCACCTAGCCTGGAGGTGTGGGTTTGTATTTTCTCAATTATGTTCTGACTAATTGTTAATTAAATTAATCAACACTGAAAATATACTTACATATTATGACCATCGGGGCCACCAACTCCACCAAAACCTTGTCCGTTGCCGGACGAGCTGCTGGAACTTGAACTAGCGAACGAATGCGAGTAGCCGCCGCCTCCGTTGCCTCCAACACCGCTGTCACCGCCACCAAAATGGAAAAAGTCTGGATCAAAGTTTCCAGCGAAACCAGGATCTACAACTCCTGGGTTGTATCCTGTAAAATAATAAAAAAATATTTGTTAGGGAACTTCACCGTAACCTTAAGATAATTTTCAAAACCCCATTGTTTTTTTTTTAATGTTTGCATACCATTTCCTCCAGGATAAAACGGTGCGCCGCCGCCACCACCCCCAGATCCACTGTTACTGTTGCTCGAAGCGGAGGCCTGTGCAGAGCTTTGGGAAGAAGCCGAAGATCCACCGCCACGTTTCATTCTTAAAAGTGGAAATAATTCTACATCCCTTTTACTCCTGAAGTAGACAACATCAGATTTATGGCCGTCGTGGTCAATAACATAGTACGATTTTGGCACAAACTCTCCCGAATCTAATAAAATTATTTATAAATTTCTAATGAGGAAAGTAAAATAATTAAAAATCAAACACTTACAGCACAAAACCTGACTAACAAAAGTTAGCAAAACTAACGCGTTTGGTATACCCATTGTCAAACACACTTGAGAGTACTGGTGATGAACTTGAAATGTTTTAACTCTACTCTCCCCTCTTAATTTATTATTCTTTGAAAATCGTTTACAGTTAATTTAAAAAAAAGCCGCGCACCTACCTGTTGCTGTTGTTATGCAATGAAGTTACCTAGACACTCTGAAACGATTGTACTGAGTAAATCACACTAATCCGTACTTCCTAATACAGCAATGACAATAATACTCACTGTGGGAGGTTGACGATATAACAAATTAGCAACTTTATTCAAACTGTACAATTTATGTATAATGTACAGGGTCCATCAAATAAATAAAAGGTACCAGATAAATAACTTAAAAACTAGCGAAAATATTTTTTGTAAAATTCGGTTGTTAATTGTTCAAGTTTTCCACATTCATTTGGGTTAGGAAAAGTGAAATTTTTCCTAACTAGAGCGGAAAAATAAAACAAAACAATATCAAACACCACTTCTCAAATTCCTTGTACGCCTTTTTATAATTTTTTTTTTTGATTTCTCGGCCAATAATGAATTACTTGCCAGTGTGGCTGACTCTTCAACATCAAAAGATACTGATGAAACATCATCTTCCAACATTTTTACCTCAAGAAACACCCAAAACACTTCAAACGTTGAAAAATTGCAAAATGTTGCGTTGTTTGTTTGTATTTTCCATGACAACAAATTTATTGCATTAAAAGGGACTTGATACTCTATTATTCAATTAAATTTATAATGAAGAGTTTTTTTACCTAATTTTACAAAATCTTGTGTGCAATTTGATAGGAAAAGTGTCTTTCCACATTCACGACATGTTTTTGATCTCGACTTCGTCTCGATCAAAAATCTCATGTCTAGAATGTGGAAAAATGTCACTTTTCCTATCTTATTGCACAAATAGCTATTTCAGATCATATATTTCTGTAAAGAGCAGATTGATACAATAATAGCCATAGTAACAATAAAATGTTAGTTAAGGTAACATTGCACACAAATATTTTGTCACATTTCTAATAATGTTTTGGTTTGTTAACTGTGCACTTTCCAACGACCGCCAGAATTAAAATAAAAATTACATACAGAAAATAGGCCAACAATTTACATATATGGATAAAATACAAAATACACATTTTATAACGTATTTAAATAATTTAAAAATAAGTATGTTAAATTATATGAAATACGGATATGTTTTTTGAAAACATTTTGGTAACACTATGACTCGTCATACCAGGGAACGAAGAATAATAATCGTCATTACTGTTACTGTGAAGACAATAATCTAATACAATCTTGAATCTTACTCGACCAAACTCAGTTCTTGTAAAAAACAAAGTTTTTCCCATTATAATTTTATGTATACACTAATCTCTCAATATCAAAATATTTAGATTGCGAAGTTCAATACAACACAGGTTTTATTCATGTTTTTTTTGCAAAATTTGTCATTTAGATACAATTTTCGAAAAAAATCAGACCAATTGTTGAATTTTTACGTTATGTGCTAGTGATTTATGAATCTCCCTCGACTTTTTACCCTAGGCATCTAGATTATCACAAAAAATAATGTATAACAAAATTTTATACTAATATTATAAGGGGAATGTTCTGAACTCTCGATAGCTCAGATGGGTTTGTTTGATTAATTGATTATACTTCAGGGGCCAGGGAATAATAACATGAAATCAATTTTTTATTTCCTGAATGTAAACTAACGAAATATTGTAATAGAGTCCACCGGTGAATGGCTACTTTCATGTTTTCTCGACGGTTCATGACACCTATAGTATGAAAAAATAGGTCCTCTGTTGATTTTTGTTAAACAGATGATCTCCAAAACTAACGACCGTTTATTGTCAGATTTTACATGTATTTTAGGAATATCGTGTAGATGATAAAATGCTAACCAAAATTTGTCTAAATATCCCCGTCAACAATGTGATGTAGTAAATGTTATTCAAATTATTCAAAAATTGAAACTATTTTAAAATTAAATCAACTACTCCTAAGCAGTGGTTATAATTAAATAATAACTTTGATACAGTACCTACCAGTAATTTTATATTACAAAATTTACATACATAATTACTGTGGAACTACGCTAGACATGGCATTAATACGGCCTTTTTCTATACGTATATTGATAGATATTTCCCAGCACGTACCCGCTAGGTTTTCTCAGTACGATCAATACATCATCAAATTTAATTTGTGACATAATTTATTGTGCAAGTAAAATATAAACCAGTGTTACAAGTTAAAGCATCTTAGACATAATGGAAATTTCATGTAAAAATGATCTAATTAGTACCTAATTGATGCTATTATTCGCAAATTATATAACTTTTGTAATAATCAAGGCTGTTTAGATCACAATATAATGCATTATTCATACAGCTATAATGTTTCTACGAAATCTACTTACGTAGAAAACAAATGCATCCAATTTTTATAATCTGCATGTATTTGTTAATTAAATAAATCAAATTTTTGACAAAAGCTTAGTTTCTATACTAACTACTCTAGCGTGTTATAAGTTTCTAAGAAAAGTATTATGGTGTTCCTGAAAAGAATGTTCATACATATACAACGTTTAGAAAATCCATGAGGTTGATTAATTAAAATTTCATGAGAACTATTTTCGTATAGTTTTTAGAAGAAATTGTTCATTTACAGAAAAATAAAAAATGTGCTGTTAAAGTTTGTTATCTACGTTGTTGCAAGATATCAAGAGTAATAAAAAACGATTTTTTTGTATTGTTATAGTCAGTTTTGACAAAAAAAGTCCAGAAATGTAAAATTTCCAAATCAAAACAAATAGGCTGCAGTGTTGAATTTTTTACAGGTGCGTTTCTTCACTCGGTGATAGAAAGCCGTTGTTTGTTTGTTTGTTTGTTTTTATTTGTTTGTTGTTGTCTCATTTATTAAGAATTTCTATTAGTCGTTCTGTAAACTCCAATTGTGGTTTGTGCTGACGAAAAACGTGTCTAATCCTGCGGAATAATTCCAAATGAATCCTTGCGTCAGATAACATTGGACTACAGTTCTGAATAAATAACTGAAAAACAGACAAACGTGTTTTTGCTTAAGTATCTTCATAATTCAGTGTTAATAGAATAGAATGCGTTCGATGAAATTTATAATCCGACCGCGAGTACGTCGATCGTCAATTTTTATTTGCGGTCTTTAAATTTAGGCAGTCACCATGAATTTATACACGTTTTTTCTTGGGATTTAATTTGTCGAGAAACCACTGTACGAATTTAATTCATATAAACAAAACAAAAATGAAAGAATTAAAGTAGAAAAACTAATCTAATTTTACAAATATATATGCCCTCAATAGAAGGTGACAAATCTCAGTTTTTTTGGTCAACAGATTCCTAAGTTTGCCTTTTAGCAAGGAAAGGAGTTTAACATCATCAAAAATGTAACCACATAGAATGATGTAGTTGTAACAGTTTCAAACACTGATAAAAATGGTATGTGCTCGTAAATTTTCTTATGTAATCTAATAAAAATTTCATGTTATTCTATTCAAAGTACATAATACCTTTTAGATAGACAGACATACAGACAGACAGATAGACATACAGACAGACGGACGGAAACGGGAGATCTATTTCTTCGTACTGTAGGGGTCATGAAAGGTCGAAAAAACGTAAAAGCAGAGAGTCAGCCGCCGGACTCGATTGCAATACTTCCTTCGCTTACGCTCGGGAAGTAAAAATAGCAACAAACGAAGAAACTCATTTAAAAAATAAAATAAAAAGTCTATCCACTGCCGGCGGAAATGGATGTACATACTACAGTCAAGTTTATGATATTTTTAAATAATTCTCTTTTTTCTACTAATTTGTTTTCTTTACAGGCAGGAGTTTGAAATAATCTGATTGATCAGTGGAGTTGAAAAATTTTGCATGTGAAGTGCGTAGAACGGGTCAGTGTGAGCAGAAGCGCAAACTACCAGACAATGGTGCAGTTGAACCTCCCATCGGAATTATTAGCCTTCAGGTGGCTAACTATACTGTACAAAAAAGCGTACATTAGCGTGTGAGTAACTCTTAGCGTGTCAGTACATTAGGCAATGTAACTAAGTGAGATCATTCGTATTATTTACCTGGCAGAGTGCATAAGCGTTATCACTTCTGTTTTTCCACAATAAAGAGGTGGTTTAGGTATACTTTTCCAAATACAAGGGTGTGTACAGAAATCGGTCTATTGTCGAGGAACTTAACTACTACAGAATAGGGTACAGTCGTAAAAGCGAAGTTGCTCTGGGAATAAGTGAAGAAGTATTTTTTTACACTTCTTGATTTATTTAATGATTTGGTAGTTCATAGGAGATTTTTAGTTTCCCCATACTTGTAAATATTTATCAGGGTGGCGGCAAACTTTAAGGCAAGTTTTCAAAACAATAATCGTCAATGTAAATTTCCGACTTTGATGTCCCAGGGTGTTCGATTGATTTAAAATACAAAGATCATCACATTACAAACTTAGTTTTATAACTTATTAGTTATTTAAATTACTTCCTAACGGGAGCCTATATGCACCTGAAGATTACTCGCACTAGTCCGATCTCTGGTAATCTATAATCCAATGAAAAATGTCTGATTAAGAAAGCGTGTGAACAAAGCACGTAGAGCTAAAGTGTGCTGGAAAAGAAATAAGATAAACTTGGCTACTTAGCATATTAATCATCATAGGGTGTACTTAATATCGGAATTTAGGTAATAAACTTCGCGTCCAAAGCAATTTCAAAGGTTGCGTATAGTTTTAGTATCCCGAGAAATGTTGTTTTGTAGAACGTCACATTATGAATGGATTTTCATATTTTAAAAAACGTGTTAAGAACAGAAGAACTGGTAGGTTTTTCGTTCGTGATCGGGTAGGGTTTTCACATGATGTGTCAGCATGTTACCACATACCTCAATAGAAATACACGTCATATGAGTTCTTTGTTTTCATACTTGTTTATGCAGATTTTTTTTGTGTGTATTTGGTATATCTTTTTGCGATTCTTATAATTATTTTATTATTATTAATAACAATCTCATTAAAATTTGATT